ATAAAGGGGTTGGAACACTTTCCCTATGAGGAAAGGTTAAGGCGCTTAGGGCTCTTTAGCTTGGAGAAACAACGACTGAGGGGTGACATGATTGAGGTTTATAAGATTATGCATGGGATAGAGCAGGTAGAGAAAGAGGTACTTTTCTCCCTTTCTCACAATACAAGAACTCGTGGGCACTCAATGAAATTGCTGAGTGGTCGGGTTAGAACGGATAAAAGGAAGTACTTCTTCACCCAAAGAGTGATTAACACATGGAATTCACTGCCACAGGAAGTGGTTTAATGTCCTGGCCCCACCGGTGGACCTCCTGATGGCACTGGTATTTCTGGCCACTGTGTGACACAGAGTGTTGGACTGGATGAGCCTTTGGCCTGATCCAACATTGGCGTCTCTTATGTTCTTATGTTCTTATCTCCCTGCCTTGCACTGAATACATGTATAGTGTACTCTCTCCTCCCACTAAAAAACAAATAGTGGAGTTGCCTGGGCTTGCAGAACATTGTCACTGAAGGCCAAACTATAAGTTACATGAGTCAGGACAGGCATCACATGTATTGTGTGGCCAATGCATGTGGGGATCCATTGGTCTGAGTCCACAGAGGCAATCTGAACATGAAACTCCTAGACTTGTTTTTGCTGTTTTACAAAATCACGGGGCATGAAGTGACTGATGCTGTCAAACAAACAATGAGCATTTTTTCAAAACAGAATCCCTGCCTGGGTAAACTTATCCCCCCCTCACAATTTGTAGAGGGAGTTAATCTCATTAAATACTAATAGGATTATAATACTTAGCTCTCTGCGTGCCACCTTGAAGTTAAATATCCCTTTAAGTGTATAAAACATGTTCACGGAAATTCACCCAAGTCTTCATCCAAGTGTGGGAATTTCCGGGTATAAAATTCAAATAAGTGTAGCAGTCACATTTGAAAAATTTTAACTCCTGGGAACTGAAACATCAGGTGTTTATATATTTTCCTTTAGTTTATTTCTTCATATTTCATAGTTCTGCTAGCAGTTCAGTTAGATGCAAGCTTTAATGTCATACTATCCAGTGTTTAAAAATGATTAAACTGCAAGGATATTATTTTCGCTACTGATGAAAAACACAGTGGGTCCTGCACCTGAGGTTCATGTTCTTGAGGCTCAGAATACCAACCCAAATAGCTTGTAATACCTTTAATAGAAGTGTCATGATGACCCTAAGTTCTTTCCCAGTTTGAACTGGACTCTGAGCTAGGGAGCACCTTCTCCCCTCCCTAACTAAATCCCCCACTCCAACCTAAAAAACTCAAATAGAAACATATATGGAACCACCCAACATTCCTTTACAAAATTCAGTAATCTTAGTGGCCTACAGAATCTGTATGACCCCCATCTTAGATGGAAGAACTGATAATGGGCAAGTAACAAGAATCACCAAACCATAAAGAACAAGTTCTCTTTTTCTCCAGTGATCATTTCTTAAAGACAGCAAAGTATCTTGATCTGTGTGTTCTTGAAGTTCTAATTCTGTTCCCTCATTAACTATCATAGCTCACCCAAAAGTGCTTGTACTTTTAAGGCAAATCAACACTGTTTTTGACATGTTTCTGCCTTCCCTGTGATGAAACACATTCCAAAACAACCATCAGTGTCTAGCAGTAGGATCAAAGCACACAAGAACATAATGGACTGTGGTCTGTTTAACCTACAAGATCTGGCCATTACCACCAACTGGTGAAAGGAGACCCTTACCTGATCTTGCTCTCCACCCCCTTCTTCATTATAGTTGAGGATGTTCTCTCGGATGTCCTCTAAGTCATCCTGACTGGTGGTGACGTGGTAGACTCCCCCATTCGTACTTTTGTGGCTCTTCCATCGAGTCCACAGGAAAACACCACTGAACAGAACTGTGTGAAAACATGACAGAAGCAAGACCTGACATTTGGAAACCCACCTTACCTTATAATGACTGACATACAGGAGGATCTCAAGAGGGTAACAACTTCCCCTATTGAATATTACCATGTGTAAAGCGGCCCCTGAGGTCCACCTACTGAATGACACAGGTGTGTTCACATGGAAGCTGTAACATTCGAATTGATTCCGAAGTGAACCCATAACACATCTTTCAAAAGCTACTTTCTCATCCTCCTAGACCCAGTTTAATGCCCAAACCAGTATTACCTTAGCCAAACCAATAAGATCCCAACAATATAGGTGTGAAGAGGCTTAGGCCTTAAGAAGACAATCTAATAAATGCAGTAACTCTTTTAGTAGTACCTTCAGCTCTCCTTTTGTCAGTCCTATTAATAGCAGTAAATCAATTAGAAAGAGAATATTAATCCAGAGGTAGGAGAAATGGACGAAGCCTCCTCTCATTCACATTTTGCAATCCTAAAACCACTTCCTTGGAAGAAAAATTCCATTAAAACATTAGCACTTAATTAAATATAAGTATATGGTTGATATTAGGGGTATGCAAAAAAAAACCCCAGCATTTTTCGGGTTCAGGTATATTGAGCTTGAAAAATATCAGTATTTTCTGATATTCCCAAATCCCAATGCCAGTACGGTGTTGGGATTCAGGAAATATGAAACCCGAACATTTTCAGCTCCATTATACCCTATGTGGACCATTATAGTCAATGGTCTCCATAAGGTATAATGGAGCCAGTATTCAGAAGTATCTGGGGCTTTTGTGGTGGCTAAGTTTGAAATTGCCAAGTTTCAAAAAGACTGGGCCAGGGGGTCCAATTCTATGGGCCCCCAAAGAAGGTGCCCCCATCCTCCATTGCTTTCAAAGGCAGGAGGAAGGTATTCAAAGGGATCACGGTCACTTTAAATGCCTTCTTCAAGCTGCATGACTCCACAGGAAGTGAACTCCAAAGACTTTTAAAGAGCTCACAGTCCCTTTAAACACCTTCTTCAAGCTGTGAGTTCACCCAGAAGGCATTTCAAAAGACTGTGTGCCCTTTAAATGCCTTCAGAGTTCAGTTGTGCGGCTTGGAGAAGGCATTTAAAAGGACTGTGATCCCTTTAAATGGCCTTTAAGTTCAAGTATCTGGCGGTCCCAAAAATCCCAAATGGTTTTAGGATTATTCAGGGCCTGACCATTTTAAATAGCTGAACCATAACCCAAATCTATATCCAGCTGAAATAATATCCAGAAAATACTGATAAGGTATTTTTTGGATTATTTTTTTTGGCTTGGACTTAGCCAAACACACACACCCCTAGTCAACATATTATGAGCCAGTATTTATTTGTTATATTTTTATCTTGCTAAGGTTGGTGCCCAAAGCAGCTTACAGGAATTTAAAACAAAATACAAATGGCAAATTTAAATAGTAGTTTTTTAAAACATTCAACCAACCATGAAATAAACTTACCGGATGGGTGTGCACATGTAATCTCCCACCCTCGTCCCTTTTGGATAAAATAGGAATCATGATGACCTACCTCTTATGGTTGTCAAGGGAGATGAATGACATGAAGCACTTTACCAGCTAAAAATGATACACAGATGAAAGACAGTACAGATGAAAAAAATGAAAGACATGATTCCATAAAAAAACTCAGGCATGTTTTGTTCACAATACAATATACGATATTATACTGTACTGTCCTTCTGGTGGCAAATGCTTGCCATTAACGGCAAATGTGTCAGGAAAGAGGGGTGCAAAAGTGCTGATAGAGGGGTTGGGAAAAGAGTAAACAAGGCATAAACCGGCAGGTCTGTTCTCCATCTTCCTTTCCAAACAAAACATGAACCAGGTAATCTATACAATGTCAGCTCATGGGACCTCAACTGATGCAATCACTCTCTCAAGAGGGAGAAATCACACCAATACGAGTTCTGTGCAGCATGTGACTTTGCTGAGGGCCCGGGTAATGCAACGAGATGCACAGTGGAAGGGAGACAGGCAATAGAGACAGCACCCACCAGGAATGGAGGGAGAGGCAATGGAGAGTCATTCCCCCAGTCCACTCAAAGGAGGAAGGAAAGGTGTGCAAAGGAATTAACCAGCCAAACCACTGGCTGCAAAGGAAAAGCAGAAGGAGACAAGGGAAAGCCAGAGGCACAAGTCTGGATGACCCCAAAAGTGTACTCATGAGTGTAGTTCTCATCTAGGTTCATGATTTTGTATACAGCACTGAGGATGTGGTCTTGTATACAGTGGTGGACTGGCCATTTAACTTAAAGGGAAGTTTCCCAGCAGGCTGCTACCAATGCTCCCTCTCAGGGGTCAGAGCTCCGGCAGAAAGGAGCTCAGGGGGCGGGCACATGCAACAAGCCCCACCCCCCGCTCCCAGCAGCCTCAGTCGGGCCACGAGGAGCAAGAAGCAGCCAGGTAAGTTGCAGAGCCCCCCCCCCCGCCTTCAGGTACAAGCTCTCCCTCCTCTGCGAGGACAGATCTATGCG